GTCCCAATTGAACAAGTACATGAAACTAAATTCCTAGGTGTGACTATTGATAGTAAACTCAGTTGGAAACCACACATTGAATATATCAAACAGCAAGTGTCTAAATCTATTGCTATACTTTATAAAACTATTGATATACTAAATAAAAAAGCCTTGTTTTTGATTTATAGCTCTTTAGTTATGCCTTATTTGTCTTACTGTGCAGAGGTTTGGGGAAATGCAGGTAAAACGTGTGTTGAGACTGTATTTAAATTACAAAAAAAGGCGATTAAAATAGTTAATAAATTGGGATACCTCGAACCAACCCATTATCTATTTAGTCAAACGAAAACGCTAAAATTAGGAGACATTATTAAAGTAAAAATCTTAGAGATTCTTCATAAAGTAGTTAATAATAATATCCCAAATTGCATAAAAGTTTATTTCAAACCAAGAGATGATCATTATAATCTCAGAGGTGTATTTATGTTTGAATGTGTAAAAGCCAGAACTAATGTGAAATCAAGATGTGTTTCTGTTGTTGGTGTGAAATTGTGGAATGAGTTAGATGATGATTTGAAGAAATGTACTTCTTTACTAAAGTTTAAAGCAGGTGTAAAGTGTCACATATTTACAGGGTACGAAAAGTATGTATAGACATTAATGAATTTTCATTGTGGATATTTATATTGGGGAAAATAAAAGAAATGTATATTGGTTATGTATATTAGGTGGAAAATAGGGTAGGCTAAAATAAGCATTGCTTCTGCCTATTCCTTCTTTGGTTTCAATTCAAATTGTTAATATTGTTTTGTTTGAAAAGAAAAATTTTATGTTAATGCTACAGTATAAACCAAAATAAAAACCGAAAGAAAGAAGAAAGAAAGTGTTAAACGCCTTTAGTTTCACCATCAAGATCAAATATAAATTAATTAGTGTTATCAGTGATAACACTAATTAATTTATATATATATTAATCAGAATTATTATCGCGGGCGGCTGCCGCCAATTAATTTGCGGACCTCACAGTAAAAACAGGTTCACTCTGTGTGGATATTTCAGCTCCTTCCCAGTCATGGACCAGGACAAACTTGGTATCGATGGATTCGTGGTAATCTCAGGAATGGGAAGCTGCCACTGTTTTTCGTATAGCATGATGACACTGGTGTTAGAGGATTGTTATTGACTTGGTTAGATATTTTAAGCCTATTTTAAATTTCTTTATATTTGATCTTGAAAACGGACAACCTTATAATTTGGCTGATAATGCAGGGATTATAAAATTTAGAGTACATTACATTCACAGAGAGAACCTGGTTTATTTCATGTCATATGTATTTAATATATCAATATATATCAGTATTAGCAAAGCTTAACATCATGAACCACATGGCCCTTTAGACGCAGTAGCAGCAGCAGCAGGGCCCTCATTGTCTCCAGAAAGCACTGAGGAGATGAGACAAGGTGAGCTCACTCAGGGGCGGCGTTAGGCCCAGCTACTTGGGCTGAAGCCCCGGATGTTTTATGAAAAGCCCCGGATCTGAAACGTGGAAGTAACATGCAGTAACAAAGTCCAACAGAGAGGGAGCAGCTGGCAGTAGTTTGTATACAGCCTGCCTGACCCTCCACCACTGAAGAAGAAGCCCTTCAGCAGCCAGCTTCTTCTGCAGTCTCTGCCTGAAATGCATGAGTGAAGATGGACATAAGGACTTTTTTTTTTAGACAAAAAGTACAATGACAGAACCCCAGCTTTGATGAGACTGGTTTTAACTCAGGTTTGTGAGTCTTATTTGAAAATATTTGTTGTGTTGCTGGTTTGCCTAAAGTTAGCTTCTCAGGTAAAGTTGCTGGAAAGTGAATATTTACTTTCATCTCACACTAAACACTAACAGGAACAATATTCTGCCCTGAATATGCTTAATATGTAGCTTTAGATTAAAAAATTATGTGGTACAAGACAAATATATATGATGTTGACTAGTGCGTGTCACGTGTGTGTGCGCGCGTGTTTGTGTGTTAAGCCCCGGATCTTCTTCAGTCCTAAATCCGCCCCTGAGCTCACGATACAATTAAGTTATTCAATTTACAAGCAATCATTAGCAACAGATTTATCTGAAAGGACATGTTAGGTTATATTTTGCTGACCTAATTCATGATCCATTTTGCTTGTGTGGTGTCTGTCCCCCTTGCAGCAGAGAAAGAGATAGAATATGTGAAAGAGGATGATGTAAGTGAAGATAGGGAAGGGGATGGTTGCTCTGAAGGTAGTGAGGATGATGAGGAGAGGCCAGAAGAAGAAGAAAGTGAGAGGCTGAGCAACACAGATGAGTGTCTGCCAGAGGATCCAGGACTATGGCCAGAGAAGCTCACTGGTCAACAAGGAGATACAGTTGTCAGAAGACTGGCGAATAAAAGTGATCAAACACCAGGAATCGACAAAATAACACCCAAAGATATGGAGGGCAAGCCATTTCCAAATTATCTTCAATATGCTAAGTCAGCCAATGGGCATGAGAAGATAAGAAGAGACTGGCTTATTTACAGTGAAAGTGCAAAGGCTCTGTACTGCATCCCATGTCTCCTCTTGAGCTGCTTAACTCCATCTACAGGATGCAATTACAGAGCATTTTTGGAGAAGTTTGTATTGGACTGAGGATTTTTTGCACACTACCTGTGACTGTTGCTGGGGGTGAACGGGCTTTTAGCAAACTGAAACTGGTGAAAAATTATTTGAGATCAACAATGTCCCAGGATAGACTGAACAGCCTAGCTCTTCTTTCTATTGAAAGCCAATTAGCCAAAGGATTGGACTTTAAAGATCTCATAAGGGATTTTGCTAACATGAAGACCCGTCAGTGGGCATTTACTGGAAAATAAATTCCAGGATTAATGTTTGAACACATTGTTGGCAAATAAAAATAATTATATGTGAAGTCTGGGCATTTCACTTTTATTATGCTGGCATTTGTATTTGCTCAATATAGAGGTTAAACTGAGATCATATTTATTATCTTGTCTTATAGCATGGCATAACATGTGTAAGAGAGATATTACACAATTGAGCATGGGGCCCACCTAGAAGACTTGTACCTAGGGCCCAGAATTTGGTGCTACGCCCCTGAATGTGAACATATATTTGCCCCCTCTTATATATATATATATATATATATATATATATATATATATATATATATATATATATATATATATATATATATATATATATGAGGGGGCGAACTGTGAGTTCTGGGTGTAAAGAGTTTGGTCTGCTATAACTAGAGAGTTGATCATTTATAGAACCACATCAGACGCAATCTCGCTGTTTCTGCGTACCCTTTCTGAGACTCTCTTTTGGATCCGAGATGTCGGGGGGTCAGGTGACCCCAAGGTACCGAAGTTTGTAGAAGAACCGCAGTACGACCAGGTCAGTCCAGAGTCTTCTACAGGTCTCAACAAACAGGTGGACTCGTTTTGCATCTCAAAAGGTTGGATTCTTATGGAGTCGAGGTTGTCAGCTTTGCAGAGTGCAAAAAGGTTTTGACTGTATGTCAGAGAGAATTTTCAAAGAGGCTGATTCCAGATTGGCCACTCCGGAATCTCAGCTGGAAAAAAACTCAACTCGGCTCAATGAACTTCAACGAACTGAATAACTCGGGAAGTGATCTAAGTTTTATTATTCCTATGTTATGATTTCATGGCAAATCACAACATGCCATGAGGGTTTTACCAAGCAAACCTCAGAACACTCCTCCTTCAGATAAAAGCTGCTTTGATTTGTGGATAAGAAAACTTTAGGTGCAGTGACGTTAACTTTAGCCTTGTGATATGCACGTGTGTATGAGTGTGTGAACTTGTCAAGTCACGTACGCTGATTATCAGACAAATAGATATTGCATGGACATTCATTTTAGCCATATTAATTTAGGCACAGATTAATCAAAACATTTCATTTAACATCTTGTTCATTCATTACATGATTATTTAAGTATTTCATTTAACCATATTGTTCATTTCACTTCATCATTATTTTAACACTTCATTATTTATAAAAGTTCATCCTTTTGCTCTGTGGAGCAAAGCAGTCTGAGAGAAGAGGAAGCTTGAAGAGAGACCTTGGTGAAGCATGATGCTGACAATCTAAGTGTCAACACGCACTGTAGAATCTTCGTGCAGCTTGGCAGATCAAAGGCACCAGATGCAGACTTACGTCTCCATATGACCGGCTACTGCAGAGGTCAAACTGTAGATGAAAAATGGACCATTTCTGGACGCTAAATATATATATATTGTTTCACCTCAGTTTGTTTGGTGACCTGAGATATTTAAATGTGACAAAAAAGTAGGAACACAGAATTTGAGCTGTGACATGTGCAGATCTCCATCGTCACCACCCTGCTTGGCCCAAAAACGGAGACTTGTCAGCGACTGTTTGAGTTTCCGACACGTAAAAGGTATTAACTTGTCTGAATGTGTCGAGGGGCCAGAAGTCATCCTGAGGTACTGTGCATTACTAGGTTGTGTGCTTGCTGCTTCTCCCTGGAGCTCTATGACCTTCTGGGATAAACAAGAAGAAAAGCACAGCAATGGTGCATTTCAACCTTTGTGTCTGATAAAAACAGTTCGCCAGCAAACGTCCACAATTATGCATCTTCCTCCCATTATTACAGCAGCAGGTGTTCTCATTTCCTTTTTATTTGAAGCAAAACAGAAAACGTACGAGGAAATGCTAAACTTGGCTCGCTGTCAGCTGGTTGCCAGATTTCCTTCACAGCTTCTGCCAGCTGAGAGCAAAGTGGATTTTCCAAACTATTTGTTCCCGGTTAAGGAAGTGTTGCACCTGAACTTTAGCGGGTTGTGTGTGGTTGTTACAATAAATCTTTTTTTGCACAACATTGGCAAATGGATGTTTCAAGTTTTCATTCACTTCATTTATTAAAGCTTTGACACTGAAATGTATCAACCCTAACCCTTTTAAAGGTATCATTCAGTAATAACATGATGCTCTGTCTCTGTCTCTCCAGGTTTTATCCATACATGTGGAGGCACGTTAAAAGGAAGGAATGGGACGATAGAAAGCCCTGGGTTTCCATATGGATATCCAAATGGAGCGAACTGTACCTGGGTGATTGTTGCCGAGGAGGGCAACAGGATCCATATAGTTTTTCAATCTTTCGCAGTGGAGGAGGAATATGACTTTTTATCTTTGTATGACGGGCATCCACACCCGGCTAACTTCAGGACGAGGTAAGGGGCATCAGTGATCACTGGTGATGGAAAGGTCAACTTCAATGCTGACATGACAGAGGCTGTTTATTCTTGTCAGGGAGGTGTCGGGCCAGCTCTGCTCAAACGGTGGAGCTGCATTACAGTTTTTTTTCGATTGCTAAAACTCAAAAAGCAAAAACGAGGCACAATTTTCACAACTTCTACTTCTGTTCCCAATTGCTTGACTCAATTTATCACTACTTAAGATTTCCTTATCATATTAGAACTCTGATTTTCCTCCTTTACACTCTGATGTCAATTTCACATTACCTTGCTGTCAAAACACAGCACATAATTTTCAGGTTTACACACACTTCTCACATAAATTCTCAAAGCTTCAATCAACAACACACAACTATTCAAATCTCTAAACTTTCGGGTCTGGTGAGCAATTTGCAATCAGGGACTGCAGCATAACGGTAAGTTTCCACAAGGCTACCCAGGTGTATGAGTGGTTTCAGGACCACCCACGGTTTTTCATTTTATACCTTCCACCTTATTCCCCCTTCCTCAATCCCACTGAGGAGTTTTTCTCAGCCTGGAGGTGGAAGGTGTATGAAAGGAATCCACAGAGCCAGGTCCCACTGCTTCAAGCCATGGAGGAGTCTTGTAGAGATGTGGCCTTTGAGGCCTGTCAGGGCTTCATGAGGCACTCGAGTCGGTACTTCCAGTGTTGTTTGGACCAGGAGGACATTGCCTGTGATGTTGACAAGGCCCTCTGGCCAGACAGAGACCGGAGGCATGATGCCCCATGATTATGCTTGAATGGGGGGGGACTGCAAAAATAAAATGTTTTGTCTCAAAATGTGTGTGATGTCTAATGTTTGTCTCAGAGAAAAGTGGGCACTGTCATACAGTCAGTGTGTAATTCATTGTGTTCTATTTAGACAATTGTGATTTCAGTTTTGGTCTTCAGTGTTCTTTCCATGCTTGGTAGTGTTCACCCAAAGACTACTTGTGTTTAAGCAATGAATGGTATGTGTGTGTCATGTGAAAATGTGGCAGTGTTTACCAAATGAAAACACGTGTTCCATTTTGGGAACATGGCAGGGTTTTGTTGCAAAGGGAAGCCACGGTTTAAGAATTTGTGTGTTATGTTTGGGGTTTTGTGTGTGCAGTTTAGAAAGAAATGTACAGTTTTGAAAAACGTGTTTTAGCAATAAAAAAAAACTGTAAGATTCTCGTCTGGATTTCACATGTGAAAAGCTTTGTTGTGTTTTACCGTGCAACTTTAATACAAGCGTAGAAATAAAAACTCTCTTTCATGTCAAATTCGCTTTAAAATGCCAGTTTTTTTATTCCAGTGCAGAAAATCCACCAGTCAGAACACTTTTAGCTAAATTCTCCACATTATTTCTGAAGGAGCATTTTGCGTTGGCCTCAGCGGTGCTTTTGGATCAGCTCTTCTTTTCAAACACTGCAGCAGAAGACAGAGGTGGAGACAACAGGAGCATCAAGCAAAATGATTTCCACTTGTTTGCTTTAGTCACTGAACAGGCAAACAACTGTTTACTCAGCATGGCTCTAGATTCTTAGTCAAGTTGACATTCAATCGATGTGGGATTGTTGGTGCTTTGCATTTTCATATTGTTTTGTGTCAGTATTTGTCTGGAGAAGAACTTTTCTGCAAATCTGTGTTTGGTTTTGAAACTAAACTAAAGCTGAGCACAGGCCATGAGTACATCTAATAATTGTGATGTGCAGGTGGTAATCCAGGATTCTTGTCACAGAAAGTGGTTTAATCTCTGAGCATGAGGTATAAATATTATCACCTGATTGAGTGTGCCATTTCAAAACATTAGTCTATAAGGTTTTAGTAAAGGTTTACTAAATAAATGTTTAGATGATTTGTATTTTTTCTGAAACCTTCCCAATACTACAGCTCGTAAACAACCTGCTGCAGCCCGCTGTGGCTAGTGCTAACAACAAGCTAACAATGAGCCACGTGATACTAAAAAATCCACATTGTTGGACAACAATATTTTTGCTTACAAGTCCAGTGGCAACAAAGCCAGGTCACCATCAGTCTGTGTTGTCATAGCCTCATATAGCACCCTCAAACTAGGGTAGGCCAATGTTCACTCTGGTTTTAGCTCTTTGCTTCGCCTCCAAAGACATAACGCTCTGACTTTTACTTCCAGGCTCCATCATGATGCCACCACAAAGCAGACATTTTTTCTTCTTCATCTTGTGTTTTTTATTGATGGCCGGCGACCTGAAAAAGCTAACTGCTAACCTTTAAATTAGCTACTGGCACAGAAAATAGCTAACAGCTGTTAAGCAGGTGAAGAGCACCCCTTAGGACACCTACCCGCTGATTTAAGATTTTGATTTATCCTGGAGGTTCAGATTCAGCTAATTCATCCCTGACGTGCTACTACAAACACAGAGAAGCATGCAAGTAACACTTTGAAAAGTAGGAATAAAAACAACTAAAAAAACAGAATATTTAATCAAATTTCAGAATGAATTTAAAAATATGGAAATAAAACTTGGAAAATCTGTTCATGCTGATAGCGATGGTGCTCGATCAACAGGGAAAGGACACTTAGTTCAAACTGGCCCACCACCAGTTAAGCTGAATATTACTATATTTTATATATGTATCATAAGATTCTGATCACAAAGTTAATTTTCAGTGGGAAGGATGAATGTTTTCTGTTTACATTCATAAAAAAAGCAAACATTAAAAACATTTTCACAGCGATTGCAGCCTGTCCTCAGATGTTTTACCCATCTGTTTTTTCTAAATGTTTCTGGTGAGATTCCATCCCATTCTTCCTGCTTCAACTGGGCTGGTTTGATGGAGTCTTCCTCTGTACCAAACAATAAACCCCAAAGCTCAGAGGGGTTCAGATCTGGAGACGGTGTCAGAATTCTTCTTCTTTTATTAATGTTGACACATGTTAGCAGTGTGTTTCGGGTCAATATTCTGTTGCAGCTAGAAAATGGCCCCAATCAAGTGCTGTCCACGGGGTATGGCACAAGGCTGTGATAGCCTTCTCTCCTCAAGAGCTTGTTTCACCGCCTACAAAGGCTACAAAACCATCACAACTACACCCTTTAAGTTTTTCGTCATGTCAAAACAAAGAAAATATATCTGCAAATATTTTACGATATTTTATTTTTAGAAACCACTTGTAATTTATAAGGATTCTGTGATGTAACATTCTGTATTCATTTCTTTACATTCAAGCCTGATTTTTAGTAATGTTTTGACCCAAAGTTGGAGCTGAAGGTGTAGGCAAAAGCAACAGCAGCCTGCAGGTAGCTACAGTCCCGAAAGGTTCAATAAAATTAACACTAATGACCAGGAACCAGCAACACCGGATCTGGCAATGAACTGAGAAACAGAGAATGCTGAACATTGGGCGGATTGATTACTGAATCAGCACCAGGTGAGGGATTAGGAGCTGATTAGCCGAGGGAAGATCCATAAACAGGAAATGCAAGGAACCAGATTACTCAAAATAGCAAGACAGACTACAATGATAGTAATGATAATGACCAGCAAATAAATGAAAATACAGAAAATAAGAGGACCACTCTGAACCCTGAACCTGTTTTACATTTTTTGTCTTCAAGCCTCCTTAATCAGTACCCCACAGTTCATAAATAAACACCATCTACCGACTGAGAAACGTGAATCTGAAACATTTCAAAGGCTCCGTTTTCAAAGAAGACATCTTGTCTGCATTCAGAAGCACGTTCCTCCATCGGAGGGTCAGCGTGAGGTCCAGCGGTTCGCTGTGAGACACACAGAGAAACTGTCAGATGATTTCTCTTGGTCTATTTATGCAGCTCAGCCTCGGTGGAAGTGGGCTGCGGCCACTTGGTGATACAGCAGAGGATATATAACAAAGAGTGGCAATGACGGGAAACAAGTCAAGAGTTGAAACATTGTAGATGCTTTACTGTAGCAGCTGCATCACTTTAGATACTTGAAAGATGATGTTGCATAATGCTGTTTGAAGGACAGCCTTGCACACGGCCTGTCAGCACGCGGGTTCAGTCTGCATCACTTTGCTTCGACACACAGATCTCCGGACCTCCTTCTGCTTGTTGTCTACTGGTGGTTTAAGGACCAATCATGAATACGAATGGTGGCAGAAATAATGACTAAATAAACAGATGAATGTTGGAGGGTCAATGCCACATTTTCTGTCTTCTTGTTTATATTGCACATTTGAGAAGCTGATAAAAGATGGACCCCAATAAGAAGTCACACCTCAGGCCTTTTAGATGAACTCATCATCAATATCATTTCTGCTGTTTTAGTGGCAGTCATGTTTATTTGTTTAGTTTCAGATCAGAATGCAACACAAACAACCAACAAGGCAACACTTGAACTCACAACATTAATGGTCAACACAGAGAGAAGAAATGCTCCCAGTTTTCAAAAGCTGATAATTAGATGCGTGTTTGAAGTTAGTTTTAAATACACTCATGAGTCCCTAATATAGACTAGATAACTCTGCTGAAAACAAGCCCTTGTGTGTTAAAGTTAAAACATCAGGGTGACCCTTTTTAAGAAGCACTGTCATTTACATTATGACAGTAAAAGTTTTTCACATTTAATCATTATACCAAAAGTATTTTAAAGTAACTTCTTGTCACCACATTTATTTAGCAGAACACAATCAGCCAAAACCTAATCTGTGAAGGTGAATGTATTCATCAGGACCGTCAGTCGACCATAAATGTTCATCTTAACCATTCGCATGAATTCCATAGTTAAATCACAATTTATCACAATAATGATTCTAAATCTACCAAAGTTTATATTTTCCAGGTTTTGTTGGTATTAATCAACTTGTTAATGTGATAATAGCACGTTATCATTGACAACCCTACTCTCTCTCTGTATATGTATACATAACCTACATCTGAAAAATGCCCCACTGGAGAAAAAAGCTCTTTTCATTTTGGTAACACAGACTTTCCTTAAATTCTAACAATCCTCATGCAGAAGTACCATT